CGTTGAGTAATGTGTAAAATTTGTAGAGCGGGCGGACGCCCGCTATTGAGGACTCGACTCCCTGCCGACCCTAAGGGTACTTTTTAAAAAACCATTTTTGGCCGACTGACCTTAAAACTTTTCTAAAGGCGCCTATGACGCCAATAAATTCTAATTTTGATGGGGAGCGCGCACCAAAGAAACGCAGTTATTTTGTTGAAAACTTTTTCAAAACGTGCTCAAAAACAGCTTTTTTGACCTGTTTTTTTTTTTGAAAAATCTGTCTGCGGTGCAAAATTTTTTGTCCCTTATACTGTTCTGGGAGCGCTCGGAAGCTGACTTTGGCCAATCTAGAAAAAAGTCGACAAAATTTTCAAAAATCTTTTGAAAATCTGCTCCCCTCTCGAGAAAATCCTAGATCCGCCCTAATTTATTGTTTTGATGTCTACAATTACAATACAACCCAAGAAATCTCAACAAAATATATTCATTACAAATGGATATTAAAACATGGATATTTTTAACAATTTCCGCCCATTTAATTAAATACAGTCAATTAGCACTGGAGCTTCTTATTAGAAATTGTAATTTTGCTACATTCTGTTGTTCGAATCTACTTAACAATATTCTTAACAATCTCCTCCCTTCCAATATATCACAATTATTAGCATGTGGGCTAATACATTCAAGACAAATGCATTCACAAGAAAAAATTGTCAAAGAGTTTTCATTATCAAAAAAGTTTTGATCGTATTTGAAAGGTAGTTGCAACACTCTAGATTCGCCCTGAAACGAGCAATATTATCTAGCTTTACATTTAAAGTTTTCCTTGTGTTCAGTGAGATGTCTTTTTTCGCGAAAAGTTTCTTAATGCACGATATTTGGGACTACCTGTTTCATTGATATAATAGATAAATTGCTGAAAGTTATTGTTCCGATTTTTGAGGAAAGTGACGGAGTATTTGGGCTCGAGACAAAATTCGACTTTTGAACCATCAACTTTTAACGGAATTCTTTTTATATGAGCTGATAGTTATTGTCCTTTTTTTGAGGTTGTGGGGGTTTGAGGATTGCCAGCTTGGCCATTTTGACTTTAAAGTTGGTCAGTTTGGGACAATTACCGCATGAGATGTTTCGCGCTGTTACCGCGTAACGGAGATTTATTCCGTCAAAAAACCGTTCCAAAATGTTTAAAGCAGGTTATTTATCATAATTGATACGCTACTATCAGCAATATTTATCACCTTTCAATTTATATGCCGTGTGGGGAATGATAAAAAGTCTCGAAAATGAAAAAGTTCAAACTTTGCTTAAATTCATGCATGTTTTTAAGCGAACATTGCTTCATAGGCCTAAAAATGCAGTTTAAACGCCCATAATTTTGCCCTGATGCGAGCAGTGTTGTAATTCTTTCATTTAGGAATCAGTATAATCCGTTCGAAAATAACTATTTGTATCAAAATAAGAATTAGTTACTAAGCAAAAAGCATGAAAACATAGAAAAAACTCCTTTCCTATGTTTAAAAAACAGAAGTTTAAAACATCAGGAGTCAGTGCACTATCAACAAACAGCTTGCAACAAAATCTTAGAATTCCCAGTCAATTGCCTCAAAGATGAAACAACAAAAAATATTTCTTCATTTTTTTCTCAAGAAACTAGTTTCGACAAACTAAACAGCATAATCCACAAAAATTTATCCTTCAAGATGTCTCGCCTAAAAAAATTGCGTGCGATTCTGATAGTGTTAAAACATTCGACAGAATTGTTCTCACTTTATAAAATTATGTTTAAAAAAATCTTCTACGATTATTGGTCTTTTAATAAAAAATGGATTTATCTATATAATTGTTTATTTTGCAGTTCATTTCCATTAATTATTTCAAATTGATGAAGTGCAGTTTTTTTTTCATTTTCATTCTCAATTAGGACCAACCTATACTCATTAATACTGTAATTTTTTGAAACATACAAATTGAGATAATTGTTAACCTTCAATTTTTTGATACTTTTTAGCACTGCAACATGTTGCTCCTCTGATCCGTACTTGTTTTTATAATGACCATTATCGTTTAAGGAAAATCAGTCATGGTGCTCAGTTCCCAAAATTTAGATCACACGGCAACAAAACTAAAACTATGTGACAAGTTAATTTTTTATTTTTCTCTCAAGGCTCAGATTTTTTATTAGGAAACTAAAGTTAAGATGTGTAACTTGATTTACGACTTTAGATAAATGACCATACAGTTACTTCTCGAAAAAAGCATCTAACAATGTCAAATTTGTGTAATATATCCCACTATTTCTCTTAGAGTCAAGATTTGCTCGTTAATGAGAAAAAATTTCGAAACTTACAGATCTAGGAGACACGAAATCAATTTTTATCAAGAACCGCGAATAAATTTCTGGCTAAAACTACTAATCAAAACACTGATTTAATTCATCTGCAGAAATTGTTCCAAGATCAATTTTCCAAGCCCTAACCCTAAGCATAAATTTCCCCATCTTCCAATAACAAGGAAAACTATTTCAGTTTTATCAAAACTGTTTCAAAGTTGCAAACTTTGGCAATTAGTCATACTGACTGTTAGTCATATTTGATGTTTTTCCATCTTTCTTTCTAATAATAACTCAATACGTTTTGTTTTTAACTACTTAAAAGTTTGATAGGATTTTTGATAATTCCTTTTTCGCAGTAAGTTTTAAGATTAAACTTCAACTAGGAAATGCCAATCTTTAAACCCCCGTAATTTTACAAAAAAGGTCACAGTTGAAATATCTTTTCAAATTTAAACTCAAGAAAACATTACCTTTCGAACGATATAAGAAAATTCCGTCAAAAATGGCTAGTTAAAAAGTCGAAATTTGTCTGACGAAAAAAAGTCCACCCCGAGCACAAATATTCCATTACTGTCGTATCGAAAGTCGGAACAATAAAATCTATTCTCAACAAATATATACAAGACTGCTCGTATCAGGGCCAAGCCCTGAATGTTCCGACTGCCTTTTAAGGGTTATGGAGCAGCAGTAATAGCATAAAAAAATTAAATGAAAGAAAAGAAAATGAAAATTTTTTTTTTTCCAAAATTAAATTTTTTTTTGAAAATCATCCCCCCACACGCCATATAAAGTACAAAAAGAGAGATTTCGTTCCTTGCAACAAATCAATTATGGCAAATAAGCTTCGTTCAACCAATTTGGAACGATTTATAAGACGGATTAAATCTCAGCTTACGCGTTAATAGCGCGAATTATATCGCGCGTTAATTGTCCCAAATTGCTCAAATGACCAAAATGGCAATCTTTAAACCCTCATAACTCTACGAAAAATGATCACAGTTGAATTATCTTTTCAAATTTAAGCTCAGGACAACAATATCTTTTGAATGATATAAAAAAAATCCCGTCAAAAATGGCTAGTTAAAAAGTCGAAATTTGTCTGAAGAAAAAAAAACCCACCCCGAGCACAAATATTCCGTTACTTTCGTACCGAAAGTCGGAACAATGAGTTATAAGAAAAACTATCACATAATTTCAGAAATGGAAAGCCTAATGATCATCTATACAGTTTTGCCAAAGAAAATGAAAAAGCAAGCTAACGGAGACACTTATTGGAGCTCAAAAAGTGGCAAGAGTTGCGTATAAAAAATACAATTGAAGACATGTATTCAAACGAGAAGAGTGGTTGCCTATAAAAACTCTACAGCTACGATTCTTTCAAGGCCGCAAAAAGTGCTGAACTTTCCCGCACTGACAAAAATGGATATAGATCAATTTTAGTATGAAAAAAGTATACAGATTAAATTGAAATCTGTTTAAGTTGTAAGAAAGTAAGTTAATCAAAAAGAAAAAATTAAATCGATTTTTAAATTCATTTTCCTCTCAATTCATTAGATTGGATACTAAAATCGAATCAAAATTTTCAAGAAAAATCGATTTAAATCGATTTAAAATCCATTTAAGTTCGTAAAATGTACATGGTTAATCGATTTGGAGCAATTTAAAATCAATTTAAAATCCATTTGAATCGACCGGGAACCATTTCTGTCAGTGCGAGTTATTATAAATTACCAGATAGTTTTGTATAAATTTTATAACAACTGCAGCTCGTTTTTAACTACACTTTTTTGTAATCGGCAAACGGTTTAAACAACTTTTTTGAAATGCTACATCACAGACAGAAAAGATATAACAAGACTGCTCGTATCAGGGCAAAGCCCTGAATGTTCCGACTGCCTTTTAAGGTTTATGGAGCAGTAATAACATTAAAAAATTCAATAAAATAAAACAAAAGAAATTTTTTTTTCTAAAAGGTGAAATTTTTTTAATTAAAAATCATCTCCCCACACGCCATATAAAGTACAAAATGATAGATTTCGCTCCTTGTAACAAACCAATCATGGCAAATAAGCTTCTTTTAACCAATTTGGAACAATTTCTAAGACGGATTAACTCTCCGCTTTCACGTTAATAGCGCGAAATATATCGCGCGTTAATTGTCCCAAAATGGCAATCTTTAAACCCCCGTAACTTTACGAAAATTGATCACAGGTGAAATATCTTTTCAAATTTGAGCTCAGGACAAAAATACCTTTCGAATGATATAAAAAAAATTCCGTCAAAAATGGCTAGTTAAAATGTCGAAATTTGTCTGAAGAAAAAAAAAACCCACCCCGAGCACAAATATTCCGTTACTTTCGTATCGAAAGTCGGAACAATTAGAAAAGTATGTCTTCAATCTTCCTCATTGTTTTTTACTTTTTCTTTATTGTTCGTTTTTTTTCTTGTTTGATTTTTTCCTTTTTGTTTTGACACACCAGTTTCTTTTCAGAATTGGAAATGAGACATTGTTCTCAATTCATGTAGATAGAAACCTTAACAAAGTTTTCCGCTCAGATGCCCCTGAAAACGGATCTGTAGACCCACTGGTGATCTCTAGGCAGTTGTAAGAAAACACTGCCTGAAAACATTACCTTAGTATTTAACTTTAACAGGCTAATCAGCCGTGTTTGATGTTTTGCAGGACCTTTCCCCTCATCCAGGTGGCTAATCTGTCTCTGAGTGACTTGAGTGTGTCGTGTGTGAATGTGGTGACCAGCTGGGTGGTGTTGTTGTGGGACCAGGGAGTGTTAGTCAAGTACAAGGTACTCTGCCTCATCACTGGATACGTCTGCGGCATCGGCTGCCGATGTTCGATCGCTTGCATCTGTGCAATCGCAATCAACAGGTACACGCCACTGGCACACTTCGTAGGCCTCTCAAATAAATTCGCAGCCAGACTAAATAGGAACTTACTCGCTAACAGCACGCAATATATTGCTCGTTAATTGCTCCAAATAAGCCAAACCGACCATTTTAAAATCTTTATAAACTCACGAAAGCTTTTGTTCCATTTTTTGAAGAAAATAAGGGCATGATTTCTTGTGCTCAAATTTTCAAAAAATTTATATATCACCTCTGATTCGATATGGAGGTTTACAGATTGCCAATATAGCCGATATTAGACGATGAAAGCGCAATATATTTTGAACTATTAAAGCGTAAGCGGAAATTTATTCGTCTCGGAAACCATTCAAAATTGATTGAAGCAGACTGTTTGTCATAATTCCAACATTACTACGAATTTATCATAATCTTTTGAAATTTGAAAAGATGTTTTACCGGTGATCATTTTCCGTAAAGTTATGGGGGCTTAAAGATTGCATTTTGGTCATTTCGGTCAATTTGGGACAATTACGCGCGATATGTTTCGCGCTATTACAGCAACAGCGAGATTTCATCCGTCTTAGAAATCGTTCCAAATTGGTTCAGGGAAGATTATATGCCTTAATTGATTTGTTAATAGGAGTGAAATCTATCAGTTTGTACTTAATATGGCGTGTGGGGAGATGTTTTTACAAAAAATCTCAACAATTTTAGAAAAAAAAATTTTAAATTTTATTATTACATTCAAACTTTCCGTGTTATTACTGCACCATATACCTTAAAAGGCAGTCGGAACATTCAGGGCTCCGCCCTGATACATGCAGTCTCCTTTCAAAGTAATGGTTTGATTTCTTGCATGCACTATCTTTTACAATAGATTAAAAAAATAGAAGCGAATTAAACTATTAAAAATTTTGAGCTCAAAACATGAAATCCTGTTTTTCTGTATGGCTGTTGTCAATTTAACTATTCGAGCTGAATAGTTTTTTGTAATTACTGTATTTAAAAGTTTTTATCGAGTTTTTCACAAGAGATGTCAGGGATCATTTAATTTAGGTCGTCAATAGCGCAAAACGAGTTCAAATACCAAAAGGACAATTCCACGCTTGTTTCAGTCATATAGTGGGCGCATCTCTCCACCTAAATTTTTCTCTGAATTATTTTGCTCGGTTAGAATATCACTGTGAAAAACATTTTGAAAATCTCTAGTTTATGTATAGTTTTACAATTTTGGTATTTTGGTTTTGAATATTCGAAAAGATTACAAATTTTGTATGTTAACTAAAAAAAAACTAATATAGAAATATTTTACTGATGCAGTTTAATTTTTGGCTAATTTTTGATTAAAAAGCCTTCCTTTAGTAATAAATGAACCGCAAAACTCTGAGGAAAGAAAAGCCCTTTTTAGACAAGCTCAGACGGAAAAATGGTCTGGGTTTTTTTTTAGTTTTAACATTTTTTTACAGACAAGAATGCTTACAATAATAAACCAATTTGAACTTTCCCATTTTTTTCTCCTCATTGTCTTTACTTTTACCTAGTTTATGAGGCTCATTAACCATGTTAACTTCATCTATTCTTGCTCAGTTCTTAAGACTTAATAATCATATCAGTGAAACAATAAACCTGTACTGAGGTTCTATGGATAGTAATCAATTATAATCAATTTTCGTATTCAAAAAGGTTGTCAATCTAATCAACTGTAGTCACACCTTGAAACCATGCAACCGTTTTTAATCCATTTATAATCCATTTCAAATGGATTATACTTAAATTCAATTGGAACTCAATTTTAATCATTTTTCCGAAAAGTTTGCAACTTTCTGTGCATAGCACACAACCAGTATTCTTGGTTCGTAAAACCTACTCACATCTACTTAATATTCGCTATTTAGTTTTGCTCGGAACGTTAACTTCTTTCTTTTGTTTTGAACATCCAAAATGAACTCCCCAGTTTTTTAACATCACCTCTACGCTTCTTACTTTTTCCCACAACTAATCCGCTCCCAACACCAACAATTGAAGAAAACGTATGTGGGGGGAGAGTGAGATGGCGATTTGTGAATAAAATAACAATGGTGGGAGTATGTAGGGGTAACTTGGCTCCGCATCCAGTTTCAAGCGTTAATAATCAATTATATTACGATTTTAGTACCAATCCTACTAAAATTGAGAAAAAATTGATTTGAATCAATATATAATTGATTATGATCTCTCTTGTAAAATTAAATTATAATCAACTAAAATTCTTTTTAATCAATTTTAATCGATTATTTATTCACGTATTTTTTGAGAACATTATAACCGATTTATTTTATCCGAGTTTCTAGTGCATTTGCTTTGAAGAAAAAATCCTTTATAGTCGATCATAATCTTTTATTTGCTCAATTTATTTTCGACCTTGCATCTGAACTGCTTATGTTTTTTGATTTTTGTAGACGATGGTGTATGTGAAAAATGGTAAAACTGCTTTTTCAGTTTTCATATAAATTCAAATTAATAGCGTTTTTGTTTTTTCGTTCCTTCTCGACTACAGTTGTTTGATGACGCACATTTTAAGTTTTTTGACCAGCAAAATATCAGCACCTTGCTGTAGTTTCATGATTTGTTTTGAGAAGTTATTTTTCACCTACCGCTGGTTAATGCGAAAGGATCTCTTTAAAACGTTTGTTTTGTGCTAAAACTTTGTGTTCAGATCATTTTTTATAATGTCACGAAAAATGTTAAAATTACAATGGATTACCAATAGTTTAATCATTTAAATTTGGCGCTTATAATTGTTATATTTTTGATATTATAATTGTTAAATAATCGATTATTTTCTCTTTTTACTGAGTGCGTGTGGCTGAGGGACATGCAAATATTAAAAACATTGAGGGCTCTTTTGCATTTTTCCCCACCCATAAGTTTTTACAATTTAAACTTTTTCTCAAAATTGTCAACTCTTTTTTCATATTTAGACTTCCAAAATTTTAGTTTTTATACTCATATTTGTAAAATTACACTTTATGCCACAAAAATGAGGTGGGAAGGAAAAAAGGCTTAAGATGCTTTCTAATTTGTTTGATTTATAAGCGATTAATAATCCAAACAATTGGTTTTGTTAGAACTTTAACCGATAAGACCGATTAGAAAATCTCATTATATTCGGCTTTTATCCGTGGAACTTCCTCTTTCGAACATCTCGTTCATGAAAAAATTCTTTGATTCGAGTTGTGTTTCGATGATATGCAACATATATGATACACCTTGATATAACGAGTCAACACTTACAAGTCTAAAAAGAAACAAATAAGCAAAATTTATTTATCTGTATGTCTTCTTTTAATCAGAGCATATCAGCCGTGCTCCATTAAGAAAGTGAACAGTTCCTGTGTCCGTATTTTACCGAATAAATGCTCTTAACTTTAGATTGAACTACAGACATATGGTATTCGAAATTACCTTTTTCGTTAATTAAAAGGTCTTTAGCTAAGAAAAGCGGGTGTAAGTTGTCAGATTAAAAACTGATGTTTCTCTTAAAAAGCTGAAATTAGAGTTAATCCGATAAAAAAGGAGATCATTTCAAGAGCCCGATCCAATTACCCTGATTTTGTCAGGAATCATTCAATTAGTTGACTTGTATTCAGTAAGGAAACGAAATGAAAGAGGATAACTCCTATCTTAAACAGATTACACTAATTTAATCTGCAAATTGTAAATTAATTCGGTCAAAAATATTTTTAGAAATCTGAAAAAAGATATTGATTGCCCATTTTTGACACTTTACGACACAGAAAAAAAGCCATTTTTCGAACAGCCAATGAAAACTTCTGACACTTTACGCCCCCAAAAACCCCCCTCCGCCCCCCCCCCCTTTTTCCTCCTCTGTTCTAGTTAACGATCTTAGAAGGTGAAATAGTATTTCTTGGATTTTTTTGCCTTCACAATTTTAAAATCAAAAATTTATACATTTTCGAGAAAAATTTATGCGCGAAATAAGAAATATTGCAAGTTTTTGATGTTTTTGTAAATTTTTGGGCCAATCAACCCCATTTTTAATTTTATAATACTGAATTGAATTGTTTGAGAATTTAAAATACTACAATACCATATCTTGTGCAATTTTCCTTTTGCTACGTTTAATTTAATCAGTCAAAAAATTAATCAGCAATTTAATCTGTCAAAACCTCTAACACTTTAGCTAATTTGTTTTTGAAAACAGTTTTTAAGTGTGGAAATCAATGAGAAACTGAAAACCAACGCTAAAATGAGCAAACTTCAGGTTAATTAACTTAGTCAGATTCGTTGACCGAAAAAGATGTTGCCAGTAGTTTTGCATTAACTATAAAATCGTGCCGATAGGTAACTCGAGAAAGCGCACTCTTAATGGTGTAATGAGAACTTAATTAGCTAATTAAAGGCTCTTTTTCCTCATCCCCCCCCACCCACTTCGAATGATCATCGCTTTTATGGTGTGACCAGTGGTTTTATAAGGTTAGATATGAAGACCAATTATGTTTGTCATGGCCTAGTTAGTTCGCAACTTGTAACAAGGTACCCATGGGTGAAAGAGTTAAGATGATCCGAGGAGATCTATATAGTCTATATAAATGAAACAGGTCACCACTTATTTGCTATGTGTTGTACAGGTACATCTCTATCTGTAAGAGTAGCTGGTACTGCATCATCTACAACACGTTCACGTTCCCAGTGCACATCTTGAGTCCCTGGATGTTCGGATTCCTCATCATGATGGCCGCAGTGGTGAGGGGAAAAGACGCGTTCATGTATGACAGACGACAACTCATATGCCCCCCTTGGTACTTCTCGGAATCAGGTCAGCACCCCCCTCTCTCTCTCCTCCTCCTCCTCCTCCTCCTCTTTACAATAAACCCTTTTTAATCAATGGGAACTAATACAGTCGCCCCCTTTTTTCAGTTTCTCGTCCCTCGTAAAATTGCAATAGGTTCTACTGACAGTTTTTTATGGTTAGTGGAACATGTCGATCAGCCAATTGCGAATTTTAGCCCATAACCGTTTAGTCAGAATTTTCCCACTTTGTTAATCAATTTTTTTGTCTATTTGAAAAGGTTCTGTTTATTTGCCTGTAGTTGAATTTCGGCTTTCTGAAGCAAAATGAGAACTAGAAATAGAATTAGAGTTTTGGGGTGTTGATAGTTCATTTGGTCTTTTAGGAGGCAGCTTGTTCACATGGATAATTCGCAACTCGTAAGTCCTTTGCGTCAAAATTGACCAAATCTATTCACTTGTTCACGTTGACACGTTTCAATGCAGTTTGGAACATCAAAAATCATTATAAATTCAATTTAAACAAGCTTTTGCTAATCTAATTGCAGAGAAAATCAAAGAAGGGCTGACATGTACTCAATTATTGATTAGAGTTTTGCGCTATATCAGCTTGCGCGGATTCTCAGAAAACTCGAATCAAAGCAAATGCACTAATTTGAACTTCATTAGGTAACCTCATCAAAAAAATGCTCAGCCAATCATTCGGTACTAATTGCAACAAGACTGCTCGTATCAGGGCGAAGCCCTGAGTGTTCCGACTGCCTTTTAAGGTTTATGGAGCAGTAATAACATTTTAAAAATTCAAGGAAATAAAACAAAATGAAAAAAAAAATTTTTTTTTCTAAAATTTGAAATTTTTTATGAAAATCATCCCCCCCACACGCCATATAAAGTACAAAAGGATAGATTTCGCTCATTGTAACAAACCAATTATGGCAAATAAGCTTCTTTTAACCAATTTGGAACGATTTATAAGACGGATTGACTCTCCGCTTACGCGTTAATAGCGCGAAATATATCGCGCGTTAATTGTCCCGAATTGGCTAAAATGGCAATCTTTAAACCCCCGTAACTCTACAAAAAATGAGCACAGTTGATATATCTTTTCAAATTTGAGCTCAGGACAACAATACCTTTCGAATGATATAAAAAGATTCCGTCAAAAATTGCTAGTTAAAAAGACGAAATTTGTCTGAAGAAAAAAAAACCCATCCCGAGCACAAATATTCCGTCACTTTCGTATCGAAAGTCGGAACAATAAGCCAATGTTCAAGTAAACAACCATATTAATCAAAGCGGGCCTTTTATGTTATGCGGTCCAAAATTATCAAACATTGATGAGCTAGTATATTTGAAATATAGCTTCCGATTTGTTTCGATTTAATAATTTGATCTGTTCTTTTTGTTTATACCCTCCACTAAATAATGAAGTTGAAAAAAAAATATTTTAAAATTTGATTTATGTTACTACGAAACACAGTGCTGATATCGAGAATCTTGAATCAGCTCGGAAAACTGCAAACATGGGAATTGATTGGCAATTAAGAACGCTTTTGGAAAATATTTGTGAAAAATATATAATGAAAACATGGATGGCCGGTTGCTGTGCATGTAGCAAAGAATGTTCTGACCAGTCTTAAAAAATTACAACAAAATAATTTTTCCAATCAGTGTTGTTTTTCGACTTGGTCTTATAAGGGATTTGAGCGAAAAAGTAGAGCTTAGGCATTTTTGTCAGTCATTGTAAAATATGCAAAAAGGAAAACAATTTCTGAAGACAAATATCATTTATTTTTCCCAAATTTTTTCCCAGATTCCTAAGATGAAGCTTAAAACTCCAAAAACTGACTTCATTAGAGTAAAACTAAATTTTCAAGGCTTAAATTAAGCATAAATAAGCTAATGTAAGCCTGATCACTCGCTCGAAGTTAGACAAAATTAAAAACTTCAAACAGGTTTTTCTCGACACCCAGTCCGATGATTATTTCTGGTTGCTGATTTTACGTGGAAAACAAAAAAGCATGCTCTCTGGCTTTATTTGCTCGAAATAGAAACAAAGATTGAAAAATTCAAACCGATGTTTCTCGACACCGGGAAAACGTTTTTTGAAATTTTTTGAAGTCGTTTGAATCACGACTGAAAGTGCTTTAGTATGATATATCATTCAACCCAGTCCAATGATTATTTGTGATAACTGATTTTGCGTGGAAAACAAAAAAAATCTTGCTCGCTGGCTTTATTCGCTCGAATTAAGGACAGAAAATCAAAAAATTCAAACCGGTGTTTCTCGATGCTGGGAAAACTTTTTTGAAATTTTTTAATGTCGTTTGAATCGCGGTTGAAAGGGCGTTAATATGATCTATCACTCAACCCAGTCCGATGATTATTTGTAGTACCTGATTTTGAGTGGAAAACAAACAAAACTAAAACACACCCGAACACAAAGATCCTCCCCATTTTGAATGGTCGCAACAACGATAAAAAAAAAGGTAAAAGAACCTGCCTGAGGCTAAACTAGATAAAATTGATTCGTTTCGGTCTGCGCCAAATTGAGTGATAGCTAGCATTTCTTAGTAATGTAGATCAATTTTCACAACAACATTTTTGATGGCAACTTTTTTGACATTTAAGGGGGGGTAAAACCGAAAAGATTCATTTTATCCAAGCAGAATAAAGCATTTTGATCCAATTTTTTAAAAGTCAAACATGAACTTTGGGCTGTACATCTGATAAAACTCCTTCCAGCAACGAAACGAAGTCTTTCCATCTCATTGTTAGTATGAGTTGAGTTCAGTTTGCTCGAGTAAATTTTGGCCATGTGAACAATATCACCCAGAGATAGACCAAGTGGACAGTCCCCCCTAAAAACAAATGGCAAGTCCCAGCAGCAAGGCCTGCATGTACTATGCTGAAATTTATTTGATTGGCTACTTTCAATCAAGTGAACCATTTCAGCCTTCAACAACTCATAAAAACTACAGTCATTGGACAAATAGTTTGCAACTTCGGTTTATCAACCAAACAAATAAAAAATGCCTTGTTTTTTTTTCGTTTTTTTCTCCGTAGCGAATTTGAGGTTTCCAGCTGAAACTTTATTAAATGATCGATGAAAGTTTGTGTCAAAATTTAGCCGGATAAAAAACTTTTCCAGGCCTCGTTTGGTCATTTAATCAAAGAGAGTAAGAAAAGTGTTCTGGCACGCGGAAAATCTCGTAAGCAATACAATTAAATATCATTGTCTTGAAAGGGCTCTTTGGACTTTTCACTAAACACACACAAGCAGGGGCGGATTTAGGGGGGCGGGGGTAGGGGCGGACGCTTTCCTCTCAGGGATTCGACCCCCTGCCGTACTATTTTGATATCCCCTAACAATTGGTGACGTACCCTAACATTTTTCTAAAGCCGCCTTCGGCGCCCATATATATTAGTTTTGAGGGGGGAGCGCGCGCCGAAAAAACGCATTTTTTTGCTCAAAATTTTCCAAAAAGGGCCTAAAAACGCATTTTTGGCCTGTTTTTTTTTCCAAATTTTGCTTGTGGCGCAGAAAATTTGGCCAAAACAGGGACTTTTTAGTGCTTTGGGAGAGCTCGGAAAATCAATTTGGTTGACCTAAAAAAATAAAACCCTGGATCCGCCTCTGCATACAAGGGTGCTCAACCTGGAAAAGATTCATCAACCTCGAAATCAAAAACAATTACAGTTTTAATGGGATTACAATTTTAATAATTTGATTTTTGAACCGAATGTTTTTAAGGAAAAATCAAAAAAGTGACTTCGTACGACGCCAGAAAAAAAACGATTAAATGTTTATGAGCAAGTTCGCATTTTATGGTTTGCACAAAAAGTCGAAAAAATTACTTCGTACGGTGTCAAAAAACTAAGTTCGCATTTTATATTTTGCAGAAACAATTTTATAAACTTTTCGTATGGCGTCAAAAAAAAGACCAAATGTTTATGAGTAAGTTCGCATTTTATAGTTTGCACAAAATATCAAAAAAATTACTTCGTACGGCGTCAAAAAACGACTAAATGTTTATGAGTACGTTCGCATTTTATAGTTTGCACAAAAATCAAAAAAAAAACTTCGTACGGCGTCAAAAAAAGGCTAAATGTTTATGAGTAAGTTCGCATTTTATAGATTGCACAAAAAATCAAAAAAAAATCGTACGGCGTCAAAAAACGACTGAATGTTTATGAGTAAGTTTTCACTTTATAGTGAAGCCGACAAAAAAACAAGTCCTGCAATTATGTGGGAGAAGAATCGCTGCTCCGATCCATCCAAAGGGGGTGTCATAAGCAGCTATGTTGTCTTTAAGTTTTTTCCACTTTTCTAGTATAAGCAACCAAGACCTTTTAATCTATGACGTCAAAAGAGAAACGGCCGTTTTTGAGTCCGGGTGAAATTCGTCATTCAACTCTTCTGTCTGTCGCTTTTTTGTGGCAAAAAAAAACGAGTTTGAAACAATAAATTCAAGTTTCTTATGTTGTTTGGCAGGATGCCTCAATGATTTCTCAAAACGTGATCCGGCTAGCACCTTCAAAATAGTCTAATCTAGCTTGTGTCAAATATTCAGTCCTCTTTTAGTAAAAGTTCCAGAAAAAACGACAAAAACATGAAGAAAAAATTCGTTCCATAACTCACCGCTGAAAAAAGAAGAGCAATTTCTATGTCCTGTTTTTGTTGGGACAACTCTTCCCCTTAACAAAGCTCTGAGGCTACTTTTTTCACAAGTGTGCAACTTCGGTTCATTTATGATTCAACGCTTTCCGCCTTAAAGCAAATCCGACATATAACCATCGCTATTTCTGTAGTACCCCAGTGAATGCCACTTTCATAAACTGATTCATAAATAGATTATTTAATTTACCTTGCGAATTAGCGATATTCAGGGAACTTAAGGAATTTGAACTGATTATGTGGGAAATTATAGCTAAGACTTCAAAAATTTGTTCCGCAAACTTCAATCGTGCAATTTTTGCTACGAGGTCTCATACGATATAACCAGTTTATAATCCTTTTAAATTAAA